CAGCCAGCCATGCTGGCTGGGGAATTCTGGGAGTTGAAGTCCACACGCCTTCAAGCTCCCAAGGTTGAGAAACACTGTTCTAAACTCTCCAAGAATGTTCCATCTCCTCCCAGGTCCAACGAGAGAACAGCCACCGAACTTCTTTTTAAAAGGTAGAACTATCTCACCCCTCCACAGTCTTTTTTAGAATTTTTGCCAATAGACAAATTGCCAGCGAATAGAATGACCAACGAATGTGCCTTCTCTATTCTTGCCGTTCATCTCATATCGCCCTTGGCATAATACCGTGCCAATTTTCCGCATGGCTTTTAGTCTGAGCAGGCTGCCTTATTCATTGTAAAGCTGGAAGCAAGCTGTTGCATCCCCTTTTCAGAGGATAATCAAGACCTGGGGTACACAAAGGTGCTCTGTGGTGTTCGCGCAATAACAGAAGGACCCACAAGGGGGCATCGTGACAGAATGGACTTCCTGGGAAATCAAATTGCCACCTGGGGATTTTATAGTTCATTAACAAATGACATCACCTTTAAAAAAACAAAGAGTCCTGGATTTTGAGGAACCTACAAAAGAACAAAGGGGTCTGTGTTTCTGCTTCTTCTCCTCCTTATGTGGTTCCTGACCTTTTTCTCTTTTAAATAGGTGCGTGTTAAAAATGGACCATCATTGCCCATGGTAAGTGGAACAGAGTTCCCTTCTCTTGAGGAGGGCCATTTAATTAATCCATCAGATACACATTAAAGTGTTTCAAGGACAGAGGTGTAGCTGTTTCTGAAACTGGCCAGCTCATTCCAGCAATACTGCTTAAAATCCAGAACTCCAACTTCGGTTCAGCTACCCCAGTAATCATTCAAGGCTCATGTTTTATCCATGCAAAACCACCCACCCACCCAAATTATTATACAGAGAAGCATGCAAACATGTGCCATGAATCCATTGTGCATTATGTATGTGAAATGGCATTATTGATGTAAAATCTTGTGTCCCATCACCACTGTCTTTAGAAATAGGTTGACTTGATCAATTTCTGCTTTTGAACTATCTGTGAAAAGAAAATGGAATTCATGTTGTGGGTTTACACTACTTCTGTTTCTACTTCTCAGAAAGAAGGACTGGGTGTTCCTCCTCAAGGAAAAAAGTTCAGTCTTAATTGTTGTCCTTCCCAAATCTGGAAGGAAATTCAAAATCTCATTTTCTATTAACTGGAATTCTCATTTTACCTTGGTATAGGTTCTCCTTACCTTGGTATATTGGCCACAATATGTTTTCGGTGCATTTGGATTTCCACCAATGCACAATAAATGGAGCTACGCAGACCTGCCACGTGTGTTCCAACCACATGGTTTTGTTTCTTTGACCCTTACTCTCCACAGAAGTAGAGACACAGAATGTCTTCCCAAATGCTTTCCATGTTGGAGATAATTACAGTAAGAATAATGTAGTTACATATGCAGGCATAGTTCATTCTGACTCAATGAACAGATTAAAGATACATCAAGAATTCTTCAGTGAAGGCTGGAATATACATGCAAATATGTGCCATGAATCCATTATGCATTATGTATGTGAAATGGCATAATTGATGTGAAACCTCGTATCCCTTCACACCTTCACTGTGATTACTTGATGTATTTACAAATTACTGGAAGGATAAAATCAGATCTTAAGAATGAAGGGGGGACATTAAGAAAAAAGACAGAATTTGAAACACCTATACGAAACCAATACCATTTGTTAGGGGACATACAGTATATAAACCCCTACTTAGGTATGGCACAGAGACAGAACAAATGAAACACTGTATGATAAAATACATGCAAAATTTCAAAGAAACAGTCACAGTACAACAATGGGAAGAAGTATAGATTAAATCTATAGAATTTACTCCAAGCTACAATTTAAAAGAAAATTGATACAAATTGTTTCACAGATGGTATACAATTCCATCAATAATTTCCAAGATAGATAAATCATACAGTAATAAATGTTGGAAATGTCATGAAATAGAAGGAACATTCTACCACATGTGGTGGACGTGCAAGAAAACTGAAGATGTACATAATACAATGCAGAAAATTTTGGAAATTAAATTTGAAATCAAACCACAACGTTTTTTACTGGGTATAACCACAGAAAACATCAACAAGAAACAATTTACTTAGATACATGCTCATGGCAGTGAGAATAAATTTTGCCCAATGCCGGAAGAAAGATACAGTTCCGACAATTATCTGATTGGGAACTTAAACTTAGGGAATACGCAGCAATGGCAAAATTCACAACAGACATTTAACCAAATTTAGGGAAGAATGGTTCCCATATATACAATATATCACGTAACATGGCAAACAGTTTGGCTTCTAAGGGGGCCTGAATGTTTATAAACTTTGTAAATCAGCAGAAGTACAACAAGAGGGACGTTAGAAACCAAATAGCCTTTTTTAAACTTTTTTCTTTTTCTCTTTTTAGTTGTTGCCTATTTTGCTTTGTCTCTTTCCTTTTTTTCTCAACAGGCATAAACAATAATAAGTAACAATATTAAATATTAAGTAATCCGCTTAAGACAGAAACCTTTATTATGCCACAAATATTTTGATGTAATTTGCAGCTGCTTCTTAATGTTACATTCAGCTTTGGATGTAAAAGCTGAATAATCTTATGCTTATTAATGTTGACATTTTAAATCATACTTAATACTGATGTAATGCCTTTAATTTTCTTTTTATCTTTCATGGTCTACGTTATCTAAACATTAGAGTGTTAATAATCTCTAGCCAACACTATAAATACCACTGTATCTAAATTAATATAATGTATTATGAACGTCTTATAACAATAGGGTAAAACAAATTTTTAAAAGTTTGCATTTAGAGAAGTTGGAAGAGCAGTCTTGCAGGGGACGAGTATTGAGCTACTAATATTAGGTGAAAGGCATGATCCCTCTGCTCACACGCATGCCATTTACACTTTGCCCTGCCTTAGAAAAGCACGCTCTCTTTAGATCTACTTGAAGGTAGCGGGATCCGCAGGAGATATAGACAGGTCTGCCATTCAAGGGAATATACGAAGTATTCCATAACATTGTCCACTGAAAGGCTGAGCAAAAGGGAGGAATTAGCTGGACACTGTGGAGGGGATCAGTCAAGTCCCGGGCTCTGAAATTAATTGAAATTAAAATTCGATTTGAGACATTCATATTTGGATTTCATGTCCAGGAGGAAGAAGAATACAAAGAATTATTAGGGAAGAAAATTACTATCCCAGCTTTGATAGGTGAGGGCTAAAATGCAGTAAAACTAAGGTCTAAACACGCCCCAGTTTGGAGGGTAATTTAACCCTCGATCTGAAGTCAATGTCTGGGGAGGAAACTCGAGCTGCTTCTGGAATGGGCAGCTTGTATTGGCTGTAAGAGGCTGGCAGCGCCTGTTTCCAACAAGTGGGCACCTTGTAGGGGACTGGAGGGAGGCGGGGAGCATGCCCAAGCACTGTGCGGCAGGGGACTCTTCCATGAGCTGGCGGTTGTGTGGCATTAGGCCCCACCAGAGAAATGAGTGCTTTTTCCTGCTTTTGCTTTTCACAGCATCATTTCCCCAGATGTGTGTTGACTCCACCTTTCTTCTTGTTTTCATCATTTTTTTTTCTCCAGGGTGAACAACTGCATCGGGTTTTCTAACTACAAGTTCTTCCTACTGTTTTTAGCCTATTCTCTGTTGTACTGCACTTTTATCGCAGCAACCGTCTTCAAGTATTTCATCAAATATTGGACAGTAAGTTGGGGAACCTGGTTACTTTCTGCATGTCTTTGGAGTCTGAAATCTTCTGGGGTCTTATATCAAAGCCAGCGGTATGACCCAGTGAGGAACACGCCTGTTTCCAAACAGAAGAACCATGTTTGGTGCCTTAAGTTGGTAGCATTGGAAATTCTGCCTGCCTGAGTCCTAGAATGCCCCTTGTTTAGGTGTAAGATGGATCAGAATGATGGGTCAGTTCAAGACATTGAAAAAGGATCCCACTCAACAAGGAAACAACAACTGAGAAACCAGTGCTCTCCCCCAAACCAAGGCCTGAGGGAATGCATCAGGCAAGGGAAGCGGGAAGAACAGAAGTCCTGCAGCTGATAGAAGACATTTGTGGATCCCAGGGTCTGATAATACACCATTTCTGACATAGTTGCCATTGTGCAAAGGATTGCCGTAACCCTTCAAAGCTGGGGAGGTTCGTTTCTCCGAGGTCGTGCCCCTTCCATTTACCATAAAGACATACAGTGGATCGTATTGCTCTGTGCTGACTGGAGAATCCTGGGAGTTGAAGTCCACTGTCTTAAATTTGCTGAGGTTGAGAAACGCTGCTCTAGAAATTGCCCTTCCCCCATGGTAGCAGAACAATAATTCCCAGCAGCCTTAGCCAGAGAAGTCAGTGGTGAGGAATGCAGGGAGAGATGCAGTTCAGCCCCATCTGGAGGGCAACCGATTTCCTACTGCTGGTCCTTTTTGACTGGTAGTGGCGTTCCCTGGTCCTCCAGCTCTTCCACAGCCATACCTGCAAACAAGAATGCATATGCTCTTTCAGTGCGCACTGGGCCTTCCTCCCTGGCTTTTCTTTCATCCTCTTTTGCGTTCCTTTGCAGGCAGAACCAACCAATGGGCGCTCCAGGTTCCATGTCCTCTTTCTTCTTTTTGTAGCCATCATGTTTTTGGTCAGCCTGTTGTTCCTCTTTGGCTACCACTGCTGGCTCGTCAGTCAAAACAGATCAACTCTAGGTAAGGCATTCATTTCCTCGGTAAGAAAGTGTGGGTAAGGCAGATTTCTACCAGCTTGTCGTTTGCGACCGAATTGACTGATAGGCATTCCAAAACCCAAGAATGGGTCCCCAGTTCCCCATCCTGGAATCCTCGCACATGTGTTTTTCACTTAATATTTGCTTAATTCTTAATATTCATGGAACCCTAGTGTTGGAAGAGACCTTGGATTTCTTCTAGTCCAACCCCCTGCCCACTGCAAGAATCCTCAAACCACCCCAGACAAATGGCTGTTCAGTCTTTTCTTGAAACCCTCCAGTGATGCAGCCCCCACGACTCCAGGAGACAGGCTGTCCCACTGCTGAAGAGCTCTCGCAGCCCAGACATTCCTCCTTAGTTCAAGTTTGGATCTCTCTCTGTAAAGCTTCCACCATTGGTTCTTGTTCTTATTCCACTGATATTTTTCTTTATCAAAGGTATTACCTATTTTTTATTATAATTGTGATCATCCCAGGCAAGGGCATAACAATTGTTGTGTTATTATTATTAATTAAATTTATATGCCATGTGACTGGGTGGGTTTACAAATGATTTAAAATTAGTCAAGTGAAGCAATGGAAGGACCAGGCTAGAAAGGAGGAGATTCTATTCCCGCCTGGGGCATTAAAGGCAGCTGGATGACTTTGGGCCAGTCCCTCTCTCTCAGCCCAACCCACCTCATAGGGTTGCTGTTGTGGGGGAAATAGGAGGAGGAAGGAGTACTAGGTATGTTCACCACCTTGAGTTATATAAAAATAAGAAAGGCAGGATAAAAAAATCTAAAAAAAAAAAGAGAGAGACCTGCAACTGACTGTGATCAGTTAATTATAAGCACCACTGCAGTTGGACCAGCCAGCTGTTGTTATAGATACTGATCCTCCTTCCAAACTTGGAAAGCCTGTTTGCCATCTTAAAAAACTAGATTGCAAAAACAGTGAGATGCAGTGGCCCAGATTCGGTTTCTCTTGCTAGCCCTCCCTGTGCTGAACCTCAGGATGACAGTTAAATGTCAGCTGATTTCTAGCTGGCCCTTTTCTGCTTCCCCTGAAAGGCCTTTCCCATCCAAGTCCACATCCCCGCAACTGTGACAGCCTTGTGTTTTGTCTGCAGAGGCTTTCTCGGCTCCCGTGTTCTCCAGTGGCCCTGACAAAAATGGCTTCAGCGTCGGCTTTGTCAAAAATCTCCAGCAGGTCTTTGGGGAGGAAAAGAGGCTCTGGTTGTTCCCAGTGATGTCCAGGCAAGTGGAAACCAAACTGCCATCAGCCCTGGGGACAGAATTTGGGCTCCCATCTAGAAAGGGAGGCTCTGGGCTACGTAGGCGGGGAGGGGCCCCATGGAGCTGTGGGCCTGCAGAAACTCATCTGGATGCTCTGCAAACCTGGCTTTGTTTTTAAGTTCCTTTTGATTTTAAAAAGGCCAATGGAAAACTGGTCTGCTGTGAAGCAAAGCAGCAGCCTCTTACATCTTTGTTAAGAAGAACGCTGCTCTTCTTAGTTTGGGTGCCCATCTGCCTAGCGAAAAGGCCAAAGTAACCCATATTCAGTGTCTGTGGGTGGAAAGAAGGGGCCTCATGCAAACATGGCGGTTTACCTTCTGGTGAAGAGCCTATTCGTGACTGGCTGTGCTCCCACAGCTGCCATTTTGTGAATGTACCCACAACGGGCTTTCAAAATTCCATATGTGCCCATCAGCCCGAGTACTTTCCTGCGCTCCCTGCAGTTCAGATGGCAAATACTAATGGTTAATCTGGAGGGTCCTGCTAGACACAGAGCAGCAAGCGTGAGGGACAAAGCTGGCCAGAGAGAGGGGGCAGGAACCTCCCAATCTCGGGGCTGGAAAGAGAGTGGCCAGATTGTGATTGACTCAAAAAGGCAGGATGAAAATGCTCTGGAGCAGGTAGTCAGACAGACAGACAGATGTCTGGTGCTGCTGTTGGCGTACCTCGGCCTTCATACTTGTCTGCAGAAAAGTGGCTAATCTAGCTGGGTTATATGTGGGAGCTTCTGAAGGCAACTTTGCAAGCATCGGAAGAGTCTGTTGCTCTGTCTGCTGGGACGCCTGACAAGAAGAGTCAGGTCTGCCGTTGGTCAGTTGACTTTCCCTCTCTCCAAGGGCCCCACCCTCACCACCCTGCTGCCTTTCCCTCCACAGCCAAGGGGACGGACACTGCTTCCCCATCCGAACCCAGAGCGAAGCCCAGAACCCATTGCTGGCAAACGAGGAGCAGTGGGAGGAAGACGGGACAGAAGAAGGCGGCCAGCACAGTAAGGGCACGAAGGCCACAGGGACGGCCTGGGAGTAGCCGTCCCAGGAGAGGCCACGTGACGTAGTATGAGCCGTTGGCGCAGAGAGGAGGAGGGGGCTGTTGTGGGGTAAGGGGCCTCTGGTGCAAAGTGGAATTTGAAAAACGTGTGAAGATACCGCAGAAACTCCACTGTGTGGACCTCAGTGCAGCAGACTTTGGATGCAGGGGGTGAAATTGTATTTGCATCTTTGTATGTCATTGGTGCGATGTTGCTGCAGACGATTTACTTTCTGATTTAACTATCAAAGATAGTGGATATTTCCCCCCCACCCCCCTGTGGGTCCATTAAGTCAAGGTTTCTCTATACCAGTGTTTCCCAACCTTGGCAACTTTAAGAGGTGTGGACTTCAACTCCCAGAATTCCCCAGCCAGCCATGCTGGTTGACACTGCTGTCAGCAGTGGGAAACACTGCTCTAATACATTCAGAAGAGAAAATGCGGCTGTCAGTTCACCAAAAGTGATTGGGGGGTCGTTGTGGTTGCCAGCAAGCCTAGGTCAGTCTTTCTCATACAGCAGAAATAGGGATACCCTTCTTACAGCCCTTCCTTGACACTGAAGTGGAGGTATGGAAAGATTGGAGAACAGCCCACCCCACCCCACCCCATTTGCAAAGCGTGGACGGGTAGCAGCCGTAATACTTTGCAGCCATCCCATTGCCACTAAGTTACCGCTCCTGGTACCCCCAGCTGATGTGAACAAGAGGGAGGGACATTGGGAGTCATAATTCAGCAAGATCTGGAAGGCCACATTTTGGGCAACTGGGGCTGAGTGGTTCTGAATAACATCCCAGGCCTCTCGACTCTTCTCTCTCTCCTGCTGAGGACATCAACCATAGTTTGTCTTGCACACAAAAGGAAGTCCATAAACGGACCCCTGCACAGCCTGTCTTAGACCAAACCAATCCGCTCAGCGGTTAACCTTCCCTAAGGTGGTACCATTCCAGAACTGTCAGCCACCTTGGCCTCCCTGTGAAGAAGGCACACCAGCGTTTCTGGAGTGTGCCAGGTGTGAGATTTGCCCCGTTCGACAGAGAAACTCTCGTGACACGTGTGGTTCACAAAGAAGGTTTACTCATGCGTAACGTAGTAGTCACAAGCAAAGCCAGGACTGGCTTGGTACAATTGCATCACTTGTTATATTCCCCCCTTCCCGCGCTTTTTCCCGCCTCGTGATCGCGTTGCGGCTGTGGGCTATTAGGCCCCCCAATGTCCCCCCTGATCGTTCATGATGGCAGGGTCGGTCAGAGTCCATTGTCCTTGATTGCCAGTCCCCCTCCGGCTGGGTTGGCCCCTCCCTGCTACGTGCAGACCCGCGGGTTCTGTGCTGCGTTGCGATCTTGTTTATTAAAAGCTTCCGCTGCGGTTTTCCTGTTTAGCTGGCCGCAGGTGGCTCGTTAATTAGCGGCGCTTTCGGTTCCTCTTTTCCCCGCTAGCTACCGCCGGTGGATTCCGCGTGGTCTGGTTGCGAGCTTCCCTGCAGCCCCGTGCTTCCCTGAAACCTCGTGCTGACCGAACCTGACACCAGGCTGGGGAAGCGGGCGTAAATTCTCCCTCCGTTCTCCTGCCAGCTTGTGCACGTCCAACAATGCAGGCTGCAGAACTGATCTGGTTGCTTTGCACAACCTCTAGGGCAGGGTTTAACAGCATACTGGCTGGGGAATTCTGGGAGTTGAAGTCCACACCTCTTAAAGTTGATAAGGTTGAAAAACCCTGCTCTAGGGTCTGAAAGGATCGTTGTGAAACTTGCTTTACCTTCTTGTTGATGCAGCGCTTCCCCTCTTAAGCACCAGCCATTCTTCATTGCTGGAGAATATGTTGAAGGACCCTTCACTGAGAATTTAGTCAGCAGCTTGCCTAAGAACCCCCTTTATGAGGCCAGAACTGCTGGTTGGATGTTCTCTGGGATCTCGGAGGTGATACTGAAGTGTCCCTCTTCAGCACCAGCTCTGCAGAAGGCCTTGATGTGGCTTTTGTACCCTGTGTTGGGTGGGGTGGGACTCTTCTCTTTTCCTGCACCACATAGATAGAGGAGCAAGAAGGCCCTCCCTTAAAACCACCCATGCTTCTTTTTGCTAAGAAGAATCTTAAAATTCATTTTAATCTTCCCCTCATGCCGTTTCAAGGAATGGCCGCTGCGTAAAAGAACCTACTTGGCTGCATCAATAAAGGCACATTTCCTGCTGATTCCATCTGGCAGGTGGAGGACTTACTGCACTCCTCATGGGCTGCTAGAGTCCTTATAGTATTCTTTAGTACAAACCAGGCCTGGGGATTCTCTGTGCAACTCATATTGCAGTGACCCTAAAAGCATTCAAGTTTGGGATGGTAGCATTTCCTCCAGTATTGGAATTGCATGATCATTCTGTCTTCACATGCATGGAAGCCCTGAGTGGCACATGGCCCTTTGTGACAGCGTTTGTGACGTTACCAGTAAGGAAGTGCCAAAGTGCCTTCTGTCCTCCTCAGGTCCTGTACAGGGACCACCTTTACCTTGGAAAAATGCAGGTTCCTAAACTCAGTGAAATCTCTGCTTATATTGTAATTTTAGTCATGCTGTTGTGTATGCTGTTGCTGGCTGTAGGTATTCTCAGCCACCCCCACCCCAGAAATGCATCCAGACTTTCCTTTATGAAGGTGGGATGGAATGATGTCAGTCAAGGCCATTTAAAGAACAGATTGGTTTACTTAATTTATTTAACTCAATTTAGGCACTGCCTGATTCTAACTGACTCTGGGCAGCTCGCAATGTAATACCATACAAATCAAAACAAGACAAAAACAAAAATAACAGATACGCCCAACGAAGGTCCCCATCTATCTCAGCCTGAGGCCTGGAAAAACAACCAGGCCTTCAAGGCTTTATGGAAAGCCAACAGGGCGGGAGCCACATGGATTTTAAGGGAATCTCCTTCCAAAGGACAGGCACCGTGACAGAGAAGGTGCACTTCCTGGGTCCCAACAGATGACATTGTTTAATGGAAGGGACCTGGAGTGCACCAACTCTGCCAGCACGTGGCAGCCAGGCAGAAACCACAGGAGAATGGGGTTCCCCCAGATAAGTGGGCCCCATGCCATTTAGGGCTTTATAGGTCATAACCGGCACCTAGAATCAGACCCAGAATTCGACTGGCAACCAGCGTGGCTCGTGGAGTGGAGGTGTCACATCACTGATGCTGCATTCTGGACCAGTTACAGCTTCCAAGTGGTTTTTAAGGGCAGCTCCATGTAGAGTGCCTTGCAGTAGTTGACCCTTGAGTTGACTTGGGTATGAGTGACTTGTTTAAATTGACAAGGCAGAAAAAAGATTAATTTAAAATCAATTTAAGTTCCTATTTCCCCTTTTGAAAATCAGGGATTGGCTGAGGAAGATGGTGCATGAATCAGTTATTCTACAGAAATTTCGGGGTGGGGGAGGGCTCAAAAAGTCAAGATGGTGGCTGTAACTATGCAAACTCCCACCCAATTTTTACAGGGTTGCACCCCTCCCATCTGGACTTTGTAAAAACCCCACCCCTCGAGCCGTTACTCTAACATTTCAGGCACTGTATTTTCCATAAAAAACCCACCTTTGTGCAGCTTCAGAGTGCCGTAATCAGTTATTTTAAAAAGGTACCCCCGTCTCTGCATCTAGTCCAAGACCACTTTGTTTACCAATCAGATCCTATTCAGCAGGGGACTTAAGAGGTTGCCATCAAGATCAGATTGATTGCAGGATGAGGAAACTGCTTGTCTTCCTGCTTCAGGGTTAACAGCCCAGCATCGAGGACTGGCTAAAAGCAGAGCAAGAGCACCATTTTTCCAAGCTGTAATTCTGGTTTCTCAAGTCCATCTTTCTCTTTTGAGAAAGGCAGTGTGTGTATGTACCCCCACCTACCTAAATACATATACAAACTCAGGCTCTGGGGCTATATGCAAGCCCTACGCATCTTGGGTGCAGCCTTCAAGGACCTCCAAACGTTTTTTGCCAAATTTAATTTTTAATGGTTTAGAAGGGAAAAGTGAGTAAATACAGAAGTGGGGAGTAATCACAGTAATTGTATTCAATTCTGGTTGAATGCAGATGAAATCCACCCATGCCTTTGTAGAGCGTAGCCCCCAGCAGGCCATTCCAGAGCCCCTCCCCACCGCCACCTAGAAAAATTGGGCTCCCTGGCTGTAAGGAGCACAACTCTGAGGGAAGGGGGGATCTCTGTCTTACTGAGTGGACTTGTTTTGCTTGTCTGTCTAGATTACCAGCAAGGGACCTCTCTTTCCATTGAAATGGAGACGTAGCAGCTTTGAAGAGCTGACGTTGTAGGACTCGCGTGCTCCGGTAAGTGTCCTCTTCTTCAGAGAAAGAAAAAATGCTTTGTGCTCCTCTTTCAATTAACATTTGTTTCATAAGATACTTGATCTGGACTTCTTGACAGTGGTAGAACATTCCCCCAGCACAGGGGTCCCAAATTCATACGATTTCCTTGTATGAAAGAGACAGGCAGTTTGGACAGAAGAGTTTTAATGGCCCATGTAGTTCATCCACAGAAACAAACTTTCTTACCAAGGAAAAGCAGTCAACAGAGCCACAGATATCATCTACTTACATAAGAGTTGGGTTTTTTTTTTATTTATTTATAAATCAAATTTATATCACCACCCAACTCCCCCACAAGGAGGGACTCTGGGCGGTTAACAACCAAACAGTTAAAACCAATAAAAAGATAAATAGTACAGCATAAATACAATTATTAAATATGATAAAATCCAAGCGATGGTAGTATTGTTGCAGCCTGGGACCAGATAATATTGGTCAGGTAGGACTAGGGAACCAGC